TCTTTCCCTCACATTTTCTGCCTGTCTGTCTTCTCGGGACAATCAGAATGTAAATGTCTTCTTTCAACTTTTTGTCTTTTGTCCCCCAGGATCAAAGACGGGACAAAAAAACATATATGAATACATATCAATTTTCAGATGCTTTGGGTATTGTTTTTCATCCTGATGATGGAAGTGGAGTGAGTGCATGTGAGTAAAGGGATGAGGGGGGAGACACCATCAATGGAAATACAAGTAACATGCAAACCGGAATTAACTGTCAGCAGTCCGGACAGTTCTGCCAGAGTCATTTCTCAGGGAAATCATTGTCTGTGGCATCATTTTCTGTATCAATATCACTTTTTTCTCTCCTCATTTTTTAGACTGTCTTCCCTCTTCTTGCTCTTCCATACATGGTGGGTTTTAACTCAAAGCATCTGATTCAACGTAAAAGGAGGCCCGCCTCTCTTATCAAATTTTTCGTATTAAAGTGAACTTCGCAGAAAAAGGTCAGTTTCAAAACCTGTGAACTTCCCAGCTGCGCACTTTTTCATCTTAATTCTTTAAATAAGTATACCTCTTTCTTGTGTTTTGCCTTCTTAGCTAGCCCATTTAAAAAAAAAAGACATTTAACTTGGTAACTCTTCCCCATTCTCTCGAGATTCGTCCAGGTTATTTTTCCATTTTTAAATGTATAAAATACTTTCATGTTTAAAATTTGTTTTGCTCCTTGGTTCTCTCTCCGATTTCAGCTTCTGCCAAATAGCAATGAGAAATAAGTTCCCTTCTCTTTTTCCCTCTAGTCTTTTCTATTCTTTTTTCTTTTCTTTTCTTTTTTAATCGTTTCTATGCAAGAGTCCATCATTGCGGCTTTGCTGTGAGCCACACTCCGCTGTCCCAGCACTCCCTCGTCCAGTGTCTCTCCAGACTTCCCCAAACCCGCTCCTACAAAGCCGAATTTTAGGCCCTTGGGTCGGAGAATGGGCAGAAGTCACGGACCTGGTGCGCTTCGTGGGATCCCAGTCCCGCGCAGAGTCCGGCCCTCTGAGTTCGGGCTGCAGAAGGGACAAGGGGCTGTCAGAGGGGTGGAAAGAGGGCCGGCTCCGAGTCCGAGTCCGGAGGTGCAACGGAGAAGCAGCGGGGCGCGAGGGCGTGCAGGCTGAGCGCCGCGCGGAGGGCGCAACGTTGGCACTGACGCTGGCGTTGGCGTCACAGACCCAAGGCGGCCGCGTGCTTTTTGGCTTTCAGTCTAAGATCCGCAATGCTGGAGTTCTTGCTGGTGGTCTTGGCGGCGGCGGCAGCCGCCACTACTGAGGCTGCCGGGGGCGAGGCCCCCGCCCGG